TTTTCAGTGCCTCAGCCCGAGAGGCACAGCGGGCACCGGCTTTCAGGGTACACAGTACCTTCCTTGGCTCTGGACTTCTAATCTGGAAGCTCTTTTCTTTCTAAATGTAAACAGACTCTATGACGATTATTCCACAGAAACTGACCTCAAAGAAACCCACTGTGCGCCTCATTACAGATTCACGAAAGTTATAAATACTAACATTCTTATTCTATCTGTCCTTCACCACCAACACATCTATGAACAAATCTATTGAAAAAACAGCTACCGGCACACCAGAGGGATTAGACTGGAAGAGTTAAAAAATTAAAATGTGTTATTGTGTTTACAAAAACTGTATTAACACCAGAGGTGCAGAATATGGAAATAGGAATACGGACAATAGTCTTAAAGTTTCTAATGCAAACCTCTATCTACAACATGAGTTAAGAAGGAAATGCAATGCCTTTTATGACAACTTGCAACAAATTTGCAGTTGAGAAAGTCGCACTGGAAATGAGCCAAAACATTGCCACCTTAGAGACAAAGATAAAATACCTTACAATTAGGTAGTTCCCCCTTTTTGAAGTTGCTACACACATGAAGCATCAGGCACAATCAGATCACTAATCACTTGTTTAAAACACATTTAACCCACTGACATTCTGTGGGAGAAATGCTAAGAGATTGTGCATGATGAGGTGATCCTGAAGTTCATCGGTTTTGATAGAACGTGGCACATTAAAGAACATTCTACAGCTGAGAAAACAGAAGCATCCAGTAACTCTGAGTCCTTTACTTGTGGTTCTGAAAAGTTTGATCTCCTCCAGACTGCTTTCTCTCAATTCCTGTTTTCCTCTGTAAATCCATATTTCTCACAGAGACAGTGAGACTTAACTGTTGTATTCTTTGAGGTCAGTTAAGGAGAGGCAAAGCATTACAAATATGGATGCACTAGGGAAATGTATGCTCCGTTCCTACTCAGTTAAGTTGGTGTATACATAAAAACTCAGTTCTGAAAAAGAAATACAATTTAAAACTGGGACATTTAAGTGTTTATTAAAAAGCAAAAGTTAGATATTTTAATACTATTTTTCCTATTAAATAAGCAGATTTATTTTAAAGTATATTACAAAATATATTAGCAGTGGAAAAAATCCTGAAAACTTAGAATATTAAAGTTTTTATTTAATTCTGGGTTAATTTTTACCTTTAATGTGCTCCTTTCTATTCTAAGGCCACCTCAACTATATTGTAAAGCAACTTTTACACAAGACTATTAGTATTTCACATCTCAATGACTTAGTTTCCTGAATTAAGGTATCTTTTATATTTGTTCATTAACAGACTGAAATTCATCTTAATATCATCAGACTATTCAGAAAGTTTCTTAGATAAGGAGTTAGCAATTTTTATTTGAAGAAAATCAGCATTTCAAGGTGAATGTAAAATGTAAATTCAAACTACATCATTTGGATAAGTTCATTATAAGAAGGGGAGATAACTGCAGAATATTGTTTCTTTTTGGAGTTTGGTAAGTTAAATAATTGAAATATTTATCATGTCTAAACAGAAATTGTTTTTAAAATTGTAATTGGATATCAGTACAAACTACTGGCAGATACTCAGCATACATCACAGTTTATTATATGGCAAATCAAAAGACCTACCCATCTTTTTTGACTTGCATTTATCTAAAAAGTCCAAGATCTATTACAGTAGATTCTGGAAAGCAATGAAAAATTACCTAGGAAATATGCAAGGCTGCACCAATCCGCAAGCTTTCAATCCCTAATGTTTGTTGGAACCACCCACCTTGCTGCTTCATGCCATAATACAAAGCTCTGAAAGATTTTGAGGATGGGAGCCCTAGTTACTTTCAGTAATTCAAGTTTTGTTTACCAAGAGTGTAAATGTGCAGGGACTTTCAAAGAACTCATGTTTACTGCCAAGTATTTTCTCATTTTCCTAAGAGATGAGAAATTCAAATGCCAAAAATAAGAATTCAGGCACCCAAGTGGACGGTATGAAGTAACTGTAACCTTGCTGATCTGAAACACTTATGAAAAAAGCAGCAGTTAAATGTAATATGTAAAACAATCAGAAAAATTATCTGACGAGTGTACAAAAGTGTAGCAGTAATGGAAATGGTCACTTCTGTTTACTGAGCAGCAACATCATGCACTCACCCAAATTGGGAAACCAATGGAAAAGCAAGATGGATCAGTAGTGGGGAGAATTTAAGGCTCAAAAGAGCTCAGCTTTGTACACTAACAGTAACTGCAGATCTCTTAGCTCTTCATGTAATTATTTAGACTAATGCCAGGACTACAAGGAATCACAGCATGTTGTCCCTTGCAGACACAGGGTACAACAGATAAATATTTGAACATTATCTTCACCCATGGAAAAAACAGACAAGCCTTAGAGCAAGCCCTTACAAAGGATATGTAAAAACCCAAAAGGCAAACAACCAAAAGCCACAAAGAAGATGCTCTTAGGGGAACTCAAAAAAACTGTAGCACCATTGACACATTGCAACAGCAAAGTGAACTGCTTTTACTGTGGCTCTCTCATCTTCTCCATTTTGAGATGTCTAAAATAAACTAAAAAAACACCATGAAACACCCGATGCCTAAGCCTAAGGAAGTTGTCCTATGCTCTGGTAGGAAGAACTGCCACTTTCACATAGCAAAGATATCTTTTAGGATCATCTTCGGAATGACTTTACCTATTTTGGCTGCCTATTTTGTCCTCCCTGACTGCAAATGATAGCCAGGTTAGTTAATCTTGTGGTAGACCTCAAAATTTTAGTTACCTGAATCTCAGAAGAGAAATCTAACTTGTGCATCTCAAAGCAGAAATTTGAGAATTCTGCCTAAGTTTATTATAGGAGGAATGATTTCTGTCAAAAGTAGCTTCTATTTAATAATGACTTAAATAAACAAGAAACTACATTTTAAGCCTGATTTTGCACCTACATACATCTCCTCTAAAATATTATTATTTCATTAGCAATTACTTAAATGTTTGTTTGCAATTAAGTATAGTCCCATTAAGTCTGGTAACTTTTTAAAACTAGGGAATTAATTTTACATGGCTAAGATTACATCGCTTGTTAGATGCTAAATGGTTACATTTTATTTGAAAACATATGAGTACATTTTTTGGTAACTTAACACTTCATTGGTTTAACAAGAGCTCGGGTTGGATTCAAAGTACAATATTAAAACTGGCATTCAAAATCATCCTTAGATTGATCTCTTTTAAAAGTACTGAATACATCCATTAAATACTTTTGTTAACAAAGAGCACAGAACTAATTGTTTCTGGTTGTCACTGCCTTCAGCTTTTACAGAGAGTAGATTTTTGTTTCACAGGTCTATCCTGTGTATGGAAGAGGGGAAAAAAGGCAGAAATTGTTTGAGTTCCTAACCCATTTCCAAGTTTGACCTAGTTGTTTGAATTGGTTAAAGTGATACTAAACTGCAAGAAAGAGCTACTACTATCAGACTGAAGTTTAATACTTCAAAAGTTTGCTTCCCACTCTATAGAAAGGGAGGGCTCATGCTACTCCATCAGTTCAGTGCATTCTCTTTGAGACTGTGACAACAAAACTGCTTAAAATTTTAACAGTACAGTGCATATAGCTGTAACAGACATTATTAATTTTGTATTTTGAGAGAAAATATTTAATTTAAATAAGTGTTCTAAGATAAATGTTTATCTTTCCTCATTTGTTCTAGGGCAGTGCTTTGTGTAGACTCTGGAGCTCATTTTAGTGGTGAGGTACATAATGCTTAACCAAGCATTCACCAGTGCTTCACCATATAATGCTTCACCAAGCCCAGAGGCATGAACGGGTGTTCAGTAAGTAGATCTGCAAGTAATAGTTGTGATGCACTCCAGAAACCCGTTCTTTGTACGTGTACATCCCAGCAGCACGATGCACTTAATATTTCTGTCCCTTTCCATGTTTTCTCATGACAGAGGTTGATCAAAACCAGACTGCTTTCTGTGCTCTCTCTGAATTGGTGGCAATCCAGTTTTGGCTGCCATTTTTCTATGGAGCCTCTCAGCCCCACACCTCACGACCAGGCACTGGTCTTCGATGTGATGCGGGACAGAAGTGTGAGTCTTCTGGCAAAGAAGCCAGAAATGTAAGCAATTCCTTGGCAACTTTAATTGTTCTAAGTAAGAAATAGTTACCATTAAAAATATCAGACTGAGTGATATCAGGCTTCAAGTTTCCAGCCACCACAGCCTCATGAACTTCTGCAGTCTTCAAGCAGCTTCAGCTTCGGAGATACCACTGGAGACTCGTGTCAAGTCTTAGGCAGATATTTTGTGCACAGAGGGCAGCAGGAATGACTCCAGTTTGAAGATCAGGGTCTTCAGTAACAAAACTGTGAAGATGCCAGATACCTGACTTCCAAGGGCTTGCCCTTCTTACTTAAGTATTGATAATCTCTTCTGAAAACAAAACAGACAAAGGGGCCGATGCCTTCGAGTATGTTTCAACATCACAATATTTTTGATGCAAGAAAAATATGGTAGCTGTACTTAACTGATTCTTTCCATAAGGAATATATTTTAGGTGAAAAGAGAACTACACTGCTGATAAATGAAATTATTTATGAAGTAAGTTCTTAAGGCAGGCATCTGGATCACCAGTGGAAATCAATGTGTTAACACGGAGAAAAAAAAGCTTATCAAGCTGATCATAAAAATAAGCTTATCCGAGAGTTCCTCTAAACATAGATAATAAAGTAAATTCAAGCAATGAATAGTTTCATCTCTTGCTAGTGAAATCCTGTAGTTAGCACAGTAAACACACAGGTAAATCTTACCCTTTTTATCAGTTGTTTCATAGTCAAGGCATAAATTCTTAAATAAGGAGCTTAGAAAAAGAGGGATCAGTTTTTAGCATGTTACTCTCTGACAGACACAAGGACACCACAAAGATGATCTTAAAAATGCTGAGGTTACTCAGATTAGTTCTTTAAATCCCAGGAAGAAATTCTTCAGGCTCAGTCAATTTAACAATATGTAACCATTTTCTCTCCTGTTTCCCTTTTTCTAGGCAAGTAACGAAGGTACTCTTTGTTACTCATATCAATTGCACAAACAATAGACTGGCAGTACATTTCTGATGTTTTTGATTAGCCATCACCATAACAAACCAAAAATTTCAATGCACAAATTGCATACAGAATGAGTAGCTAGCTGCAAATGTGAGGTGAAGAGCTAGTGAAGACACACAGAAATGAGCTGTACAGAAACAGATGAGTAGAAAATGTGCAAAATGTGCTTTCCTCCACCCTCCCCACAAGAATACTCATATCTTGAGCTTCTAAATGAGTTTCTGCAAAATACACTGATGACTAGTACTTGTGTTTGCCATTGTGAGGAAAAGAAAGGCGTTAGCCTCACTAAAAGTATCTTGCCTGAAGAGTTCAAGGCCAGCTATGAGAAGATTTGCTTTTTGGCAAGAAGAAACAACTCAGCCTGGGGAAAAAAAGAACTCCATCTGCAGAGTACAATGATAAACTACTCAAGTTTCACACACATATTCTTATTTGCTCATGTAATTAAATAAGTGACCATGTGTTTCATGTGGTTTAACGTCCAGTAACATTCCACAGTTCACCAATAAAGCAGGTGGAGAAGCAGGCTCATGTACAAGGGAACAAAACAGATGTCCACTTAGATAACCATCTCTGGTGATAAGCAAATAACTACTGTAGGTTACATCTGGGAATAAGACTTTCTGTAAGAACTTCCCAGCTTGAGATATCTGTTCTTTTTACATAACCAGTTACTATGCAATCTTCAATCCTTATGTACATTAAAGCAGTGGTCACAGCACTGAGACATACAAGTTTCCCCAAGTAACACAAAATCTTGATATGAACGTGCTAATAATCTTATAAAAAATTTTCTCTGGATTCCCATCCACATCTTTTTTTAAAGTTGTGAACAAGAAGGAAAAAGGTGAATATTGTGGTTACATTTAATAAGCAATTAATTCTTATCTTCTAACTTCCAGCTGACACATTTCTATACAGTCAGCTGTAGCACTTTTCTAGCTGACTTCAGCCACACACTGCAGACCCCATCCTCAAAATGTCCACAGGTTTTAATTCTCATGACTAAGCAACCCTGCAGACTTGAAATGAACTTGGACACGGGTTTACTCAACAGGTAATGTTAAATTAATTCAATTTCTTCTGGAACAAGATTTATCTTGCTAGAAACATGTAAAAATGTGTAATTTAAATATTAAAAATGCTGCTTGCCTCAAAGAAGCCCTAAGAATGCTTAGCAAAAAGTACAAATAGAAAAAAGACATTGATATTTCAAGCTGGAAGAAATATTTGAGTGTTGGACAAGAAGGCACAGTAAAAGGAATAATTTTTGTTTACAAACAAAATTAGTCAACACATTTTCTAAGCTAAGGAGCTTTGTTTTTAGTTTTCAAACTATTTATACAAAATACAAAAAAACAATAATACGGTCAACATCAGATTGCATGTCCAAAACATGCTTCAAATAGCACAGATATTATTAATTTTGTAATTAAGAGGAAAGGATGGTAAGTTAGCTGATTGGTAGTTTATTTCAAAATCTTTTGAAGATCAATTTTCATAGGTGTAAAGTAGTCTAAGGTCTAGAGTCAAGAAAGACTCATGCATCCCTTTTTGAATTACAGATAAAGATGAAGATTTGCCTGAATGAAAAATCACTGAAAAATCCATTCAAAACTAATTAGAAACAAATTCACCCGTAGCTTGGATTGTACACCTAGATATTGTAAAACAAATTAATTTCCTTCTTTCCTGGCCTATGGTTTGTTTCTTAATGATCTCAACTTATCTTCCACTAATTAGGAGAGCAGTTGCCAGGTTTTCACTTTCAGAGTATGGATGATGTCGCTACTTTTATATAAGATCCAGTTCTGCAATATCCTGGAACTGCTCCTCCAGAGAAGGTACTTTGACATAAATTCTATTAACAAGAAACATGTGTTTCCTTCATGTAAACTGTGTATTCTCTTAAAACTATTCAGGTTTGACAATTATATCCCATACAACTTTGGTCACAGAAATGTGCAAGGTCTTGAAGCCTCTTTAATATTTACCATACTTTGAAACAGAAAGCTTTTAAAAAGGACCATAAACTGGAGACTTATGGGAGCAAGCTGTATAAAGAACTGCCTGGAGAACATTATTAGTGCAGGGTAACCCTGACCAGTTCGTCACACCTTCAGCTTGAAGCTTCTACAGCTTTTACACCTATTCACATGTACCAATCAGTGTTCATTGAGCAAGGAAAGTGCAAAGCAAACAGATGTAATACCATTTCTTATGCATGACAATTTTTTAATATCTACAAAAGACTTGAAGAAATAAAATCCTAAAGGTAAGCTCAGAAATCCATAGAAAGGCACCTGTCTTTTTTTTTTTTTTCACATTTGGCCTTTGTGCTTTCACATCACAGATTAAAAATGTGAATACAGGTGGGACATTATTAAAATCAAAATTCAATAAATAAGAGTTTAAATGCTAGATCACAAACTTTAAAAACAATACCATTAAAAGTGGTTTGCTTCAATTGTGTATTATGTTAAAATGAAACAAATTCACATTTATTTAATAGCAAATTTTACTGCATTTCTAACTGAGTTTCTATCTTCAAAAATACACTTCTCATGGTTTTTATTAGACACAGTTTATAATTAAAAGATTAGAACAATTTTTTGGGGTTGAAAAGACACTTAAAATTATTGAACAAAATATCATAGCCAAGTATTTTAGGTATTTGAACTTGCCTTTTCTGGGTCATGATTCAACGACTGATACTTGCCAAGAAGGTCAAACAAGGCTAACAACCCTCAAATATGTTTGTTTTATTTTTAAAGCAAGGCTGTAACTGCAAAAATGGATAGAGTTAAGTAGAACAAAAATCTTGAAACAAATTTATTATGAAGTGAGGTATGGTAGTGTTGAAGTGCTACAGTGGATTTGTGCATATTCAAACTTATTTCAGGTCAACTACTCTGAAGTTTGAGATCAGCAGACTGTGACTGCTTGCTTCAATCTTTTGTTATATGACCCTTTGCAGATGTCCAATGGCCACAAAGAAGATACATTCAATTAAGCAAAAACTAACATGATCAGATATGAATGAGCATATCTGGCAATTTAGAAGGCAAACTGTAAGTAAAAATGCAAGCATACAACTTATTAATAATAAATACATTTTCAAGCATTTGACATTATCAATATTTTTAAAAGAATTTAAATAATAAATGCAACTATTTTATACATAACTGTACCATTTATTATACACACAAGTATATCAGTTCCCTTTGTTTACAAAGGCTGGTTACAGATATATGGAATGTTACAGTACCATCTTGCATAAAATTTTAGTACAATTCGTACTTCAAAAAAGGGTGCAAAACACCAGCCTAATAAATCTGACTGAATTGAAATATTTTTAATTACATCATTAACACATACACAACAAGCTGTACATAAGCCCACTTTTCAATCACCACTTCAAGATACTGTAGCAAGTACATTAGATTATAAATGATTCCAACTAGTCAATTAAATTTATTAAAGGTTTGCACTGCTACTCACTCTGGAACCTTTGAGATAAAGCCTGTATTCACGACTTACTGAGCTCTTGTTAGTACAGTTAAGAGGCAGTCAGCACTGGTTGCCAAAGTACTAGTCACAAGAGATTTCCTCAGAGAAACTTCACCCAGGAGCAAACATTTTTGGATATTCCCTTCAAGAATAAAAAAGAAGTTTTATGGGGTCAAGACTCTCCATTCTGTACCTTGGCTGCTGGTGGATGCATGAAGTCCTTAAAGGGAACCAGTGCCTCCTTCAAAGCAGAGCACACTTCTGAGGATGAGCAGGTGATACATTCTACTAAAGTCGGGTACAAGGCAATAACTTGTGCCCATGTGCTAGAATCAACTGCAGGGAAGAAAGAACAGATTGAGTCACTTACCACTGTCCAAATACTGACAACAGATTTTTTCCAATACCTTCTAGGAAATGGCAGATTCACAGTGTGCCTACACATAGGTACTTAATGCTATACTATGGCACCCACGCAGGGCACTCAAACATGGACCAGGATTTCTGCAGGAAAATGTTTGTTTTTTCAGCTGCAGCCAGAGGCCATATGGGATAATATCCTTAAAGTAGTGCTACACACCTGTGTTTCTACATATGAGTCCTTCAGTGTGTCTTTGGGATGAAGAACTGACAAATTTAAGATAATACTTCAATCTGTAATACACGTGTTTTCTGCCTGCTTTTCTCAGCTATTGACAGAAAATTGAACTGGATGCAGATTTCACTTTTGGAAAATTGTCAGCAAAGAGACTTTCTATTGACTTCAGATAATTTCAGAATACAAGAGCTACAGAAAGCAAAGGTAAAAACACTGGACAAAGACAAAAAATATCCATGGTAAAGTTTTGTTCGTCCAACAAGTAAAATTAAACATTTTAGCATGATTCTTATTATAATGTCACTTCCTTGGTTATTTCTGTTTTAGCTCTTTTGCTTTCAAAAGAGAACAAACCCCAAATCAGACATTAATAATTATCTTAAATAAATAAAATTATTAAAAGGTAGAAGTGAGAGTGAAGTGATTCTGCAATTTGTCCAGTAGCTCTCTTTCTAAGAAAGTGTGGGAGGTTTGGCAAGCACTACTGCATATGGACCAGGGGAAGAATCCTCTCATTGCAGGAAGAGAGATGTGGGGAACAGTCCAGCTGATTCAGCTTCTCTGCTTCTCTAAGAGGAAGACCCACCAGAGCAGCACTTCAGTGCTTCAGGGTTAGCCAAAAGGCTTTATGCATCCTGGCTTAGTTCTACCTGCACACTTTGGCCATGAAACCTTGGAAACCACATCATCATAACTCTGGCTGCTCAGTGATTATACAAAAGAGGCACTGCCTCTTTCCAGAAACCCACCTGCCTGTGTTTTTCTGGAAAGGCTGGTTTGTTTGTTTGTTTGGGAATTATAAAGGTTGGGCTTTTTCTCTTCCTCCTAATATCAAAAGCAGGGAGGTAGAGGGAAATGTTGTATACACAATTCTGTCAGAATTTGAGAGTCCAATACAATGAACTTAACCAAGACTCATGATTAAGTTTCCTTCCAAGAACTCTACACTAATACCACAGGTGCAGCTTACAGGAGGAACAGGATAGGTAATTAAAAATTAAGTCTTTCATTTGATTCAGCCCTTTAAATAAATCTGTCAAACATTTACTCAGGCATCCATACCTAAGCTCAGTCCAGGAGACAGAAAACAATAGTGCAGGAAGAGAGGGAAAAGCAAGACCATGAGTGTAAGTATCTACCAGCCTGTCCATGCATTTAACTTGTATACCCCTTTAACTGCAGAGTGCACCTATATGTACATGATCCATAACAACCTAAAAAGGTGTCATGAGAAGGAAAAAAGGATCTAGCCAGGCTTCATATTTTTAAGAATTCCATTAATATTTTATGGAACGGGGTTTTTCTTTGTTTTCAGAAGACACTGAACTTTATCTAATAAAGGACACCATAAATTGTTGTTTTCTCTTTTACTGAACATATACTTTTATGTCCTTATACTTTTAGTCATACTGGAAAAACTTTGTGGGGTTTCTTGCCATCTACCTGTCACCTACATATACAAAGAATTACAGAATACTGACTCTTACAGAGTACACTTTTTTTTTCAAATTTCTGTGAACACTACTAAAAGAAATAATAAATCCATCTTTGGGGCAGATATAATGTTACCTTGTTTGGAACAATGTTATTTAACAATAACTTACCATTTTCAGGTTGAGTCTTTTTAAGTGAATCTATGAGAGTACTGACAGCTTTTAAAACAAATATGATTTCTGTTACTTGCTGCCTACAAATGAAAAAAATGCAAACAGTCAACTACTCGTTTTTGTTTCAAGAATGTACATTTTATAGAAAAAGTTTCCCACTATCATTGCTGTTGTGTCATCTAGGACAGCTTTAACTTCGATACTGGAAACAGTAACACCATACAAATCTCAATCTGAAAATACTTGTTGGAATCCTGGATGCTGAGAATTTTAAACTTTCTGTGCTTAAAGGCACAGACCCACAAGATAACACTGCATTTGACCTGAGGCTGTGAAGAAGGCTTCCAGAATTGATTGACAGTACTAGGATTACGGGTATGTAGTTGATAAGAAGCATGTAATACCACAGGGTGGAAAATTTAAGAGTTTGGTATTTTAGAATATAGAAATAAATATGAAGCAAGATGGAGGTTTTAGGATGGAGGCAGGTTAATCTTCTTTACCTTCTTCTTCTTCTTCATGGGTTTGGGTGTAATTGAACAGAAAAGTCTGCATTGTGGGCTTCCAGGGATCAGTTATTGGGTTAAAAGGGAAAATAATCTAGATGTCAGTTCTTAATTGGATAGTTTAGCTTTAAAAGACCTTGCAACAAGAGATAGTTAGCAATTTTGTGCCTTGCTAATGAAACACTGCTCAATTCATGGTTGTGAGAGTGTTTCACTGACAAGAAATAATAAACACTTGAGTCTGAATGTGAACTACCGTCTCAAGTGCCTTCAATCCAGACCCAGAGAAATCAATAGACTCCTATCAAAATACATAAGGCTAACAAAGATAATCAATTTCCACACTCATGATCAAAGCCTTCAGAAGTGAAGTGAATTTCAAGTAAATGCCCATTTTAAAGCATTTCCTAGTTTTCTGATCTAATTTTTCTATTTCAAGAACAATTACTTGAGTAACAATTCTCAATATTGTTGTTTGGATATTTCATTTTTGAGGAGATTCTACTCACCTCTTAATTCATAAACTACATATAGCTCTAATGGGAATAAAAGGAAATCAGATTTCAGAAATATAATGCTAGAGATATCAGAAATATTGTTTCATTAACTGAAACCCGTTTAACAGCACAGAATATGGCCATTGTTACTAGGGGTTTTTTTAAAAAAAACGGGGTACCAGCAACTTTTTTGAGATATCTTCCCCTAAACATTTCCCTGCCTTTTAAATTTTATTCTCTCCTCACCCCCTCATTTTTTTCATGACTAAGTGATATTTGAATGCAAATTTCTTGTCATAAAGTCCTGGTAATACCTTTATTTTCTAAAGACAATGCACATACCGTGGAAGAGGACATTTCCCACTCAATCTCTCATCTTCTATGTAGCGATGCAATACATCCTGTGACCTTTTCAAGAGCACAGAAAGTGCCATTCTAGAGATGTAGCCTTCTTGAGGAGTTGTGACTTTATTACTGAATGAAAACTGGAGCAGTGTTTCAAAACACACCTTAGAAAACTCTTCTCTCATTCGAATATCTATTTCGGCTTCTGTCAAAGTAAAATTATGCATTTCAATTGTGCACTGTGCATGATGCTGCATTTCAATCTGCTTTTTACATGCTGAGATAAGGTTATCACACTCTAGTATTAAAAAATATTAACAGTGATAAGAACAAATATTAAGAATATATTCTAAGAAAAAAATGACTGTGCAAAAATCACAATAGTTCTGAACATAAGAGATGAATTATGACAAATTCTCAGTAACATATCACATACTTGACATTAATTAAAAATACATTAAATAATTTAAAAACAGCAAACAATCCTACATCATAAATACTCACATTTGGAACTGTACAATTTAAGTATTTTTCTATGTAATGGCTTATGTTCACTTTTTTCATCTTTCCAAAAACCCCTACAAATGTTTTTTCTTAAAGGCAGAGAAGGTATCTGGCTAGGTACACCATATCGTTACACTGGGGTCATTTAGGTTTTAAGAACAGGACATCTGTCTTATAATTGACTGAAATTATTATTTGAACTGGCACAAAGGAAAATAAACTATGTAGAAAGTAACACAAGTTCAATATGATACTGTCCAAGCTGTAAGGAAGCAATTTTTTAAACACTGAAAGGAAAGCTTGGCAACTTCCACAAAATATAATTTATTTAAGAAGGTGGATATCAAACAGTCTATACTGAATACATGCCAGGGAACTTCAAGTCTTTATCATAAGTACACTGAACATTTTAATTATTTTCTAATAGCTTTAAACACTGTAATTTTGATTAATGGTCATTAAGGTACCATACCTGTAAAGGAGGATGACTGAGAATGTATTGAGCCTTTATTGAGCATAGTCATTATCTGACCAACAAATTCCTTAGGAATAAAATTAGCATATGGCAGTATCTCTGTGCTGATAAGCTGCACCACCTAAAATAAATTACATATATTTATATAGGTTTTCTAAATACTGTAAATCTAGTATGAAGAAACAGTTAACAGGAGAGAAAGGCCTAATTAGACTTCACAAAATCTTCTATTGCTAGCATTTAAAATTTGCAGATATGTCCTAAAGTGTGGTCTTGCATGGGACATTAAACTTGAAATAAAAGCCTTTCCCCTGCCACTTTGGCCAAAGTTTCTGATCAGATTTCAAATGGCATTTGAAGTACATTCTTCAAGTCAAATGTATGGTTTTGAAAAGAGAAGATTTAACATTAGAAATCTCTCTCCCTCCACCCCACTTCAATATCCTCTCTATGACATTAACACACATACCCATCCCTGATAATGTGATATCTGCAAAGCAGAACAAGTGTGTTAATTATCTAAAGCAGCTTAAGGCAGTACATGTGAACAGAAATGCTCTCTATCCTTGTCTTGGTGCTCCCATTCAGGAACAAAATAGGTTTAGATCTCCATAAATTAATGCATTAAATGTTAAGAGTTCTGCTCACTGCAAGCAGAACCACTCTCGCTTTTCATCCATATATTTCTGTGTCCCAGCCACCCCTCTGGAAAGATGATGGGTGATGAAACCACAGACACTGCCGTGTCTTCTCTGCAACTCCTTTTGCTTTGTATCCCTAATCTCTCTTCTGCCACATATTTTGTCCTGGAGTGAAAGGAGAGAAGTCCTTCCTAACTTCAGGTATCATCTTCTCCTAATTTTCTTCAGCCTTATACAACCAAACATACAGCGATCTCTGTGCTGTACAAACTACACATAGCTTCTTCATTTATGCCAAAGCTTCTCAGTATAGAGAACACAATGTCTAAGAAAAAATGGCTTTTTGCTGACCACCCCCTCAACACAGAAGGCATTCATTTCAGGTTTAATTCTCAGCTTTCTCTGTGGTCTACAATTACCAGCGTAAATGCTCAGCAATAACATAATAAATAAGGATACATAATAAGCTAGAGTCAGAAATGCATTTTGGTTTAGCCAGTCTATACTGTTTTGAAGTTGAGATGACAAGAAATACTTTTTGGCATCCCACTTCCTACTTTTTGCATCACCCTGAAGCAGCTGAATTCTGGACTTATGAATTTCCTGTCTTGTTTTCAAATATGAAAACAGTATCACAGAAAAAGTAATGAAACGGTAACTTTTCAAGAAATTATTTCAGAACAAAATGCAACTTGTGAATGTCAAAAATTTGTTAATCTTAACAGTATTATTTGTTTTAGGCTCCTTACCTCAACATCAATACTCTCATTCTTCTGAAATTCTTGAATTGAGAGGTTATCAGGAGGTGTACTAAAAATAAACATACTACGTTACACTTTAAATTTACAACATAAGGTGATAAGTATGGGAAAGTGCATAACATTTACAGTTATTACATACATCAAGTTGGTACTATTGTATGGTAATGATTAATGATCACAAGGTCAGGTTGGATGGGGGCTTTAAGCAACCTAGTCTTTTCACTCACTATGCCAAAAATACATTTGAGTTCCAATGGTACATCTTAATTTTTTTTTTAATTTTACATTTTCTTCTACATTAATGAAACATTCTTCATTAATGGGGTCCATATCCTTTTCCCCTGCTAACTGAAATGATGCATTTGTTCTCATTTTAATGAATTTTATTAAAAGAAAAATCCATTTTATAAACAACTGTTTTGAAGAAATTTAGAACTTTTTTGAGTTCTTCCATTATATATATATATGAATTTATTTTCAGATGAAATACCCAGAAGTGATTCAACAGACCCCTGTGATGAGTAGTTCAGAGCTAAGCAGAGGCCTCACAGGCAGGGCAGCTGCCCAGGATAGGACTGTGGACATGTGCCAATCTTGTCCTCATAAGGGTACTCATCTGGGCCTGTCTCCTCTGTCCCACTGCCAATTTTAATGAAAGTTTAAGAACCCTGAAGGTTTTGAAATCTCAAAAATTCAAATCTGATTAGTTTTGCTGACAGATGTTTTGTTTTGCGTGATTTTTTCTACCAGTGCCCCTGTATGTTGCTGACAAAGACAAAGAAGATTTTTCTAAGATAGGCTTTTTCCCCATCTTCTGAATACTCTGCATAACACACTGAAGATCAGTCTTCACATCTACAGCTGAATTTCAGTTTTGACAATTAGGAATGTTTTATCTATGCACCAATGTTTCTGCTTAAAAAATAAATGTATCTCTGCTCTTCAAAGAGACTTTACGAGATCACTTTATCTATGAAACGGACATGTGTTACATCTATGAATAAAAGAATAAAATATTAAATCATTGTATTTATTACTGGGTTGTGTATTAGGGAGTCAGGAAGTTTGGAATTTTATGTTGAAAACATAGAATAGAATAAAATATTAAGTAGCTGTTCAATCAGTACCTTTTCTAACACACAAAGCCGTTAAGTATGCAAAACCTTTTGATACTAATTTAAGTTATTACAATGCATAGAAATGCAGGTCATGTTGAAATACATGGGAAGATTTCAGACTGACACTTTCCAATTTATGACTCACTCTCTGAGCTGAGGTTTACTTAAAGAGGTGTTCAGGCTTTTCTGCCCAGTCATCCATACCTGATCTACCTTACCTACTAAAGATTATGGCACATATTTGTTCATGTAGCAAATTATTCCCAAGTAAATAGATTTTTGTCTATGTGGATACACCTATCTGGGGGCCAAATGCTTTGCTGTTCTGGCACAACATATCCAAACCATACTGGAGGGTCAGGAGCCAGAAAAGATATGAGTGTGATGCAGCAACTTTCCTCAGAGAGGAAAGAGCTCCCGGCCCCTCCCCACTGAACAGGGAGGGCTTCAGAGCCAAGAGCAAAGACCTAACAAGCACCCAGAGCCCTGCTGTGCACAGCACTCTGCTCAGAAGCATCTTTTGGGAAAGTATTGATTTAATTCCCTCATGTGAGCATAGACTTCTGCTCTAATAAATTATATACACACACACATATTTGGTGAATTTTATTGTATATAATGGCATGAAATGCCTCTATGAAAGCCTCTGGGAAAAAAGAACAATATGAAGTAATAAACATACCAGCTTCTTACTGGAAGACAATTTTGTGTAAATTAAGTTATATGAAATGTATTAATTTTAAATGTCGTCTTGATTTATGACAAAAATCAAGAATATTGAGTCACCTCAGCTGTAGTTTGCTGTAATTTTTTTTTAAAAACTGAAACTTCTGGCTTAGAAAGCACTAATGCTGTGACAGTAACATTTTCCTTTTTCATTTACCTGGGCTCTCCTGGCTATATTTGAAATTTCTTGTTGTACAAAGCTGCAGAGAGAATTTCTGCTGTGCTTTGTACTTTTTAAACATCATTGAGTATCACCTCTCATTTAAGCTCCATAGCTGGCTTGAAATTCTGTTCCTATCCAAAAGAAAGAGGTGGGACACTATTTTAAATACAGCTATTCACAGAGCTTTAGGGGTTTAAGGGTTCAAACTACAGTGGCCTCTTGTCTAATCAATGCCAACTCAGTTTCAATGCCAGAAACAATATTAGGCTATCTACACAAATGATTTCTAGGACCACAGTGACTAGATGAGTTACAAGCTGGATCAGAAAAATGTTTCAAATATTGGTCAAAAATTTAGAACATCAGTGAAATAATTTCATTTTCCTACCCAATGCTCAGCCAGGTAGAAACTTGGAGAACATGCATACAAAAATAAGGCAATGTGCACTGGCATATTTTAATGTAAGCTAAAGGAAAAAAACCTAATCAAATCTGTTATGCAGTGTTGCTAGGAAGACTGACTGCATTAAGGCTTTTGTGAGTCTTACAGAGATGCAGATGTTTCGTATTTAGAACCATCCCAGCAGTTCTAAGTCAGGCCGGGAGAATAAAGATTTAAAGATGAGGTACAAAAGGAAGCCATCTACCTAGCTTTGCATATAGCCTGGACAGACAACAGCACAGAACATCTAGAACATTTAATAGTGGAAAATGTGGAGTATGAAAATGTATCAAGACTGAAGGAAGAAAAGGAAGGGGGATTTTGTGACATAACATTCCAGTTTCATTGAAACAAAGAACCTAGGAAAAATTATAGAATGCCAGCATATGAAAGTGGATTTTCAGTTCTAACCATATTCAGGTCTAACTGCATATATCTAACTATTCCTGTCACAAGGGGTGACATGTTAGAGGATGCTAAAAATCCAGAAAATGCAGTAATGGGGTTACTCTGTCTCGCTGTCAGCCTCTTGGGGGGTCAACTGAACTTCATTTCCCAAATTCTTTGTGCTTTGCAACCTTTTCAATCCATGCTGGTTTTAGTGAGATTTGTACACTCCTGCACCTAACTTAATAACCTTTCTGTCCTGTGTGACACATTTGCAAGTTGGAAAGCCACCAGAGATGACCTGACTCACAGCTGCAGTAAAGCCATTTGACAGGTTCAGCATGGTTACTAAAACCAATTCAAATTTACAAGTCACAAATCTAACTAAAACCACTCTCCTCTTCTCTGCTGTGGCTCGATTAATTGATTTGGTGTTATGGACAAAAATCCAAATAGTTCCAGGATAATAAAAAACACAACTCACTGTTAATATAAATAAATCAGGGAACACACCAAAACCAGTTCTATACCACCTAGCTGTCCTTAAACGAAGGATTAATATGGATAGTTGGAAAGTACATTCTCACTGCCTTCCCCTACAACCTGAAGGATGACATGCAAATCAACTCAGCAATAAATTTTAGCTGTTATTTTAAAAACAGTGAATAGATTCTCTCAAATTACCCTGGAATAAGGCACCACTATGAGTAGCGTATGTTTTCTATTAGAATTACAAAAAAAAAAAAAATGAAAGCATGCACTAAATTTGAAAATTCTGAATTCAATTTCCTTACAAGTGGAACAACTACAAATTTAAGAGACTAAGTAAACTGCATTTATAAACCACTAGAAGACACAATTTAGCAAATTTCAAACCAAAAAGGACAGGTTCCTTACTTGCCAAGGGTAGTCTCATAGCATCTTGCACAGAGTGCAGAAAGATTTTAGCAGGGGAAATCAAAGGAGAATTACCTCAATGTGGGGAACTTCCACAGCTATCTCTAGAGCCCTCCTTGCATCACAGTGAGAGAGATATGCTTCAGTAGCAATATGGGGAGGAGGAGGAGAACGAGGAGGATGAAGAAAAGGAAAAATGACTGCTATTACTAATTGTCCTGACCAGTGGCATGAGGAAGATGTATTCCCTTTTCAGCTTTTATGTTTTTTAGGAGCACAAGGCTCAGGCTGATAGAAAGAACAGAAAATCTATCTATCTATCCTAAAGATACCAAGGGACAAGGCTCTAACTGCATGCAGGACAACCATACACTTGGAAGGTAAACCACTGTTTAGAAAAAGATGAGCATTAGGGAGGTAAAAAAAAACCAACCCCAGACATTCAGTAGCCACATAAAATACAACTACATAAGCAAAATTAACCTACTCACAAGAAGCCTGGAAAGCATAATAATAGTGGCTATTAATTACACTAACAGGTCAAACTATCTTGCTGTAGCTATGTGGTTCTACAATATACCAGCCTATTTTTTAGTGCTTTAAATTAATTTAAACTTTAAAGTTTTTAAGTGAAAAAAAAAGTTTCCTACACTTTCCTAAAGACACCTTTAATTAGGATGAAAAAATTTTCTCTAAAACACATTTTGTGTTTTAAATTATAGTATACACTCTGGTTGCTAAAGAGGCAAAACCAGACTTAAGTCAAGACAGACATCATAAGGCATCATAAATATTAACACAAGTACTATTTTTTCTTCTAACTCCAGAGAGTATTTGTCCATACATGATAAATGACAAAAGGTATTAGAATTAACATAAAGAGTAATAGTTTCTAGCAAGCAACACATTAAGATGAAATTTCTACATTTGAAATAATATTCAAGTAAAGTATAAATTGCTCACTGTAAATTAAACATATTTGTTATAGACAAACAGATTTGGCCAAAAAGTCATGCAGATGATCGTGAATTATCCTGAATTACACTAAAGAGCTGGAATAACTTTGCTTCCCTGAATTTATGACCAATTAATACCAGGAAGCTGTAGCAGTACTAGTCTTGTTCAGCTAAGAATATGCAAAACAGAAATGTTTAATTTGCTTTGCAAATATTTAGGAATAATTAAATTACAACAAATAGTAATATATATTTCCAAAGCAACTTTTAAGTGAACATATGCTCTTCTACAATAATGTGAAAAACCTTCATTTGAATTCTGATTACCCAACAGTGATATAGATTATAGAGTGTTAACTCATGTGGACTGCCTGTCTCAGAATGGAAGCAAGAATACTAACTGCAGCTGAAAAGAAAACCATGCAAGATACTGCAAGGATTATTTTACATTAAAGAAGCAGTGAAGCATAAAATAAAAACTTGGATGATTGAAGTGCCTTTTATGCCATCATGGATGACCTTTTCTATTTTAAGGTCCTCCTACTTAATAGAATTTTTTTCAAGGAAATGCAAAAACAATAGGAAGGTTTTTCACCTGATTGCCTTCCTATTGATGGTAATCCTATTGATGATATTCCAAACACATTCATTATTATGCATTTCCACTAGCAACACATGTGTCTCTAAAATAAATTTTCATTGGTATTTTTTTTGTTTGCTTGTTTGTTTTGGGCAAGCTGATATTTATCCATCATTAGTAAATACAGCTGTGTTTGATTGCTGACTTTTGTGTGTTTCAAAACTAAACACATAGCATATTAGTGTAAGGCACTGAAGAACTGTACTGTTTTCTGTTCAAAAGAAAGATTTATTTGTTACTGAAAATATTTTTCATGTTCCACTTTGTTCTTTATTCTAAAACACTATTAGATATACTTAAACTACTCCTAAAAGATGCTTGTCAACAGATGTTTACAGAAGATGGAAATTCCATACCACTCCTAAGCAATTATCTAAAATACCTAACCTTCCTTAGAGTAAAAGATTTTCTTAGTGTCTAACCTAGAAAATCTTTGCTGTACTGAAACAAGTTTTTACCCATTGCCAAGGGACAAAAAATTATTCTCTGAAGCAAGCTTTTATTATATTCTGAAAATTTACAATGTTTTGCTAATGTTGTAGTCTTTTATTTGAACAAATAGATCAAAGGCCAGGCTGGATGGGGATCTGAGCAACCTGGTCTAGTGGAGGGTGTCCTGCCCGTGGCAGGCTGTCTGGAACTAGATGATCTTTAAGAGCCTTTCCAACTCAAACCATTCTATGATTCTGTGATTAAACTGTCTGTCTCTGATCATTACTATTTTCACCTCTGGACTTTCTCAGCCTGCCCATTGTAGATTGAGACTGTGTTTCATTTTTGAGAGGAATCTGTCCATCTTTATAATCTTAAATATGACTATTTAACTACACTTTTCAAAGAGTATCATAAATAAAGTGTGGTTAACTATTAAGGTGCAGTCAATTTATCTTAGGTAGAAACAAATATAACTATGAGCTTCTAAGTGAACAGCAGTGTACTAAATAATTTTCAAAAATTCACAGTAAGTGGAGTATTTCAAGATGGAACTCAGGACAAATACACATAGTTAATGCTGTTAATTAGAAAAAAATACCATTGCAACTCTGTTCAAAGTGAAGAAAGGAACAAATTGTGTACATTGTGTACATCAGCAACTCTTTATCAAATCTAGAATAAACATCCTTGGAGTCCATACAGAGCTCCCTGTCCTGTTCAGAAAGACTATGCCATATATTGAGAGTTCAGCTGAGCTCTTTCTTGCTCTTAAACTTCACCTTTTGACTGAAGCTTTTTGTACTACTTTCTAAAAGTAGAGCTTTTTGAAGTAGAAAGATTGGTTACCTCTTCTTCATCATTCATTAAAATAATTTTCATACATCAAATAGCTCTAGTGACATGTATAGTGAACAAATTACTTACGAATATTTTCCTTTAAAAATAAAAAAAGGAAGTTGTGTTTACCTTTTTGTAAATAAAAAGTCTTCAAAAGTATTTGCTAGCTCTGGCCACATACTGTCAAATTTTCCAGAAGATGCATGCTGCCTTGCAACAGGCAGTCCAATGGAGAGAACTTTGAGAAGAGAGGACACAGCTAGCTTCCATGTGCTTTCAGAAGGACATGAGTACTTCAGACTAAGAGGTATTCTAAGGGTCTGCAAAATGAAAGTCAAAACAAAATTTATAGTTGCTCAGACAAATCTGAGATTACAGAAAGTTTCTGCACAAGATCTTGGAGGACACTGTCATAGATGGCAATACACAATCCTTACCTTTTCTGCTACTATATGAGATGGCCCTTTACAAATGCAATTCTGAAGATAATTTATCATATTTCTCATATATATGCTGGCTAAAGCACAGGTCTGTAGCCAAGTACAAGGTGAGAAGTCAGAATTGATCCATTATCATTTACACTACAAAATCACATACTGATTTTCTTTTTCTGTATTGCCATCCACCATTTCTGCTAAGTCTGACAAATGGGCTTTCCTAACACATAAGAGACTGCAGGCAGTCTGTTATCACAAATGTATTCTGGAGAATTCAGTCCCTACAAAGCCATCCCAAGTGCTTCCACAGTAAAGAAAAGGAGCCTCATTGCATTTAATTTTTTCCTAGTAAAGCTGAACTTTAAATACTGGAACATAAACACTGGAAAAAATCTGGTCATTATTGACTGTTAAACCACATGATATTTGAAAGTAAGAACAGTTAGTGAAATTCTAAGATAAAGGCTACAATACAACTCAAATGTACAGCAGATGAAAGTACAGCAAATTTTAAGTCTTTTAGACAGAAAGTCATCTTCAGTATCTATAAAACAAAGTCATTAACAATTTTTTTCAATTAGGCATATGAACTATTTACACGTATATGCATTCTTTTTAGTATTGTTAGTCAAACTTTAGAACCTGATAGTAAGTTTTTGGTTTTCTTGGAAAACCAATTATTTACTTGACACTTCAAATACACAGTGACTAAATTCAGGTACTGTATGTATGCCCCCCATGCCTTCAGTGCAGTCTCCAAGTTGAGGAAAGCAAAAGGAGGAAAGATTCACTCTGAGTCTCACAAGGGAGACAATTACAATTAACTCTCTATGGCAAAAAATCATGACAGCTAGACTCTAACCCCAGAGCTAAACAGAACTTTTTTTTCTGGTGCTTTTGGTCATATGTGTCAAATCTAATTCCAAAATCAACATGGGCTTTAGAAACATGAAAAATAAATTTAAAGCATTTTCATATATCCCAATAGACCCTATTGTTATCAACTGCAAATGTTATAAAAAGTGGTATTTCTATCAGTTCCACCAATCCCATTAAAACAGAAGTGGAAAACAACTATTTAACTTTGAAATACAAATATTTCATTAAAACCAGATTTCAAATAATATCACCTGTTTTAAACACATTCAGGTTTCTAAATTTCTATACAGGAAAATCCTGATGTCAGCCACATCATTGCAAACAGGCCAGGTCAGACACATTCTTATTTTCCAGACTTCTGGAAAATATTACTTCTATTATTTATTAAAATTTTTTGCTGAAATTGAATGGTCAAAAAAAGTGAAGCATTTGACAATTTCACTTCAAAGGTATATTAGCTACATTTATTATAAGGTGTATATAGGTGTATGTAAGGTATATGTATTATTAGGTAACATTTCAGAGATGCATTGACACATGAAGTCACTCAAAGCAAATCGAAAGTAACAGAGCATACATCCCAAAGTTTTTATGCCAGTCTACAGAAAATGGGCTTTGGTCTTCAATGCCATATTTACTAAGGCACCTACTTACCACACTCAGGTGCATAACACTTTCAAAGATGAACATTTTGGGGCCTAGCATGTTTGTTAATTTTTATCATAATATTGAAATACTGATGCTGACATTAACCAGCTAAGAACAGTACAAATAGACTAATAAATAGCCTTTCAGCTTCAAAAGAAATTATTCCCTGCTGCTCATCTTCATAAAATATCAATCTGTTTACTACAGCTTGAAGCTTCCCAGGAAGTGTTTGTCGACACTAGCTTGTGTAAACTAAAACTTGTGATTTTCAGTATAAGCTCATTAAATTCAGAGCACATGCAGGTAAAACTTTTACCTTAATAATGTTCTGAAGAACCTTCTCTGTTACCACAGCTTTGTGGCAAGCTGTCTTTTGGTATAAGTCCACCACAACTTCCAATGATCTCTCTGCAAATGGTACGTAATTCAATGCCACCCACTCCGCCTAGGAAAAGGAATTAGTAAATTATGTGTGAAAACATATTAATTAAGGAACAGAAAGTGTATGTTTTGCACTGAACTCTCTGTTTAATGCATGCAAGGTTTGCTAAGAATATGGTCCAAGCCACAGAACTGCAAATACAACATAGTCTGGCTATGAAAATGTACTCTACATTGAAGTAAAGTACATTTAAATAGGAGAAATGTTGCAGTCTGAGCAAGACAACTACATTAGGACAATCTTTAAGGAAATTTAACTCACCGGTGCAAATAGTTGTATCTAGTGTGATTCCATTGTGTTGCAGGACAAACAGAATAAGAAGAATTAATACATACATAATAGTTACCTCTTTGATTACACTGAATCAGATGCTCATGCTTAGTGAACAGCAGTGTACACATAATAAGAATTACTGAACACGTTCCATTTCTTTACAGCACGTGCAATTCAAAAATCTGAAGCTTGAGGGAATTTTCTCCATTCAAAATTATCATGCCTCTGTGTTAAATTTAGTATCTCTTGTAGGACAAATTATTTTAGATTAATTCATGTACAAATTCAGACACATTTGTCTGGTGTCCAAGCCAGACCTTTCCTACATGAAGGAATATGAAGTACAAAAGCAAAGAAAAATGCAAAGGGAGTAAAAGAAGATAACAAAAGCATTTAAAAAAAACTTATTACACAACATGCAGTTAAATTTTTACAGATTGAACAAATGCATCTTGCTGGACAACCTATATCTGAAGCTGAATTGGATTAACCAGCCAAGTGAAAAGAGTGGGATTTCTAATTAATTACCTGATTATACTTTGCATTTGCAATGTGCTTTGTTTCCAACTGTCCATACTGTGGAGGCTTGCAGGAAAATTCTACAAAGGCCAGTAGTTGGTCAAAGATTGCAGGATACATTATCTGCATACCTTCTGAGCCCACACATATAGCCTTTATCAAAAGAAAAGAAGTTTAATATATATTTCTTGAGTTTTTCTCTAACACGTGCATGAGTACAAGGAACTCCTACAGAAAACTGCCCATATAAGACTATGCAAGAGTCATGCTGTATGAAAGACTGTGTGTAGTTCCAATTGTTCAAGGAAATTAAATTTTGTTACTTTACTGAAATAAAGTTGCAAGACACCTTGGCATATAAAGTTCAGTAAATACAGCTATCTCATCCAATAAAAGATAACTTTTCTTCACTCTGCTTTGATTTGTCAGTAAAATAAAGTCTTATATAAGTCTTGTATCAGCCACATCTTCTTTAAGTTCTACTTCAACAAACATTTAAATCTCAGAAGTAAATGATAGAAGGCTTCAAAATGTAGTTAAAAGAGTGTCTTATAGAGAGGAATAGAAACAAAATGAGAATTATATGGTTTGGCATAGCTAAAACTCATAATCTTGCTTTGAAATGGAAAACATTTCAGGAACAGTGTACTTACACTACCAAAAAACCTCAAACCCTCCTATACTACAGCAGTAAAAGACTAGAAGAAAAGTTCTAATGAGAAATAAAAAGAACAAAGAACAAACCAAAGGGTGTAAAATGGGCTCAGCATATGGAAGCCTGAAAAGAGATGCAAAGCTGCCTTCCATTCCCATGTTCTTGAGTTGCAATAGTGTCCTGTCCTTTGTTAGTGGAATAACATTATACAATATATTTATTAAACTAGTCAGAATTCAGTCTGAAAAATGTTAGGTTTTTTTCATGCTATTCAAACTGCAAAGGCGTTCCACAACTTAAGGAAAAATCAGAAGTAACCCAAGTTTTCCTGTATCAGCAAAGAACCTGATCCTACACACAAAAACAGAGAAAAGTTTTGTTTTAAAGATTGCAAATATTTACTTCTTTAATGCTTTCTGTGTGTACTCCTGAGAGTATCAATTGATTTCAAGAGAGGAAGAAGGTACTGTGGCCTAAAGTAAAACCATCTGACTCATGTCCTTTGCTTCACATCAGCACTGGCTGGCTGCCCTGCCATGTGAACTGTACTGTGTTTATACAGCCAAGAGGAGCAATCAGACAACTTCACAGAACTTACTGATATCCAAAAACACATTACTGTTTCTAGGAACTTCAGTGCTGCTGTGTTAGTAACATAACTATAGGTGGGATAGGAGGTTTGAGGTAACATCTTATGGAAGTCTGTATTTGCAAAGGTTTGTTGTAACTGCCATGGTAACCCATGGAAACTGGGAGTGGGAAAGGGGAGATGTCTCACTTTCTCATGTAGAGTTATGGCTTTGGTTACTGTTTAGAAACCTTCAGCTAAAATATCTTGACAAGAACAAGAGTGTAATTATGTGCAGTTTTTCCCCACGTTACAAACTTTGGTAACCCCTTCTTTGAAAAGCCCTAATGCCTGCAGTCTTTGGAAACTAAGATCATCTGGATATGAAGATTAAAAACCAGAAAAATCTGAAATAAATAAATGGACTGATCAAATGGGAAAAACTGGATTTGGGTTAGACTGACTTGCTGGAAAAGTGAGGGTAAAGGGGACTGACTGGAAAAGGCTGAAAATGTAGACATGACTGGTTTTAAAACTTCATGTTATTTACACACCCACATACAAAACTGAGATTCAATACCAACTTCTATCCAAGCAAACTGAATTGAAATTTAAACAAAATAATTCACTCCATAGCATTTTCATGGCAGGGATGGTTGGAACTATATAATTTTTAAGGTTCCTTCCAAGCCAAGCCTTTTCATGATGCTATTGTTATACCTCTGTTTTCAAAATACATGAATGAATATTTGTTAAAACCATCAGCTAAAGGGATGGCTGCAAGGTAATTATTCTACCTTGCTTGCATATGTTTGAGATTAATCACCTCACACTAAGCAAAAGAGAAAACAAAACACTGAATTGCTGCTCATTTTTCAGCCACCGTGTGTTTCATGTGCTAAATGGGGGCAGGATCCTGACAGCAGCCAGGGGGATACATGGCCACATAGTTAAGCAAAGTAACATAAATTCCAAAGGGAATGAAGTCAGTTCATGTGGACATTTTAATTCTGGCACTTCCCAAGTAAGTTTGTGGGGGCTCTTTTCTTTTGGGGGAGCGGGGAGGGGTGTTTATTTAAAGTAGTGCTTAATATAAATGCATTATTTAATTCATGATCAACTCTGCTTCTTTTGAATAAATAAGTTTTGTGAATGAGCACTGAATTTTGCAAGGAGATATGTTTCAACTGCAAAAAGAAAGAAACAAGCAGCATTATTTTCTTTTTTTTTTGGCTTTCAGAGAAAGAGCACCCTCATTTGTTTTTTATAGATTTACTTGCATTAAGGGTGCTTTTTGAGCATGAGCTCTATAGTAAGAATTTCTTAAGCAGAGATGCAGCATTTTCCTTAAATATCTGATTATTAAGAGTCCAGAATGTAGGTAATCTGCCAGAGAACCTTCTATATTTTATGCTTTGTGTAAACTGTAAGTTCTCATAATTGCTGTTCTTTCTAGCCTGTTCATGGCAGCACCTGGACATCACGTGGAAGGAACACTGTTTGTGGGACTGCTCCTCCATCTCCATGTACAGACCTTCAGTATCAACAGTATTTCAATGTTAGATGAACACATAAATGGCTACAAACACAGCACAACACTTAAGGTACTTCTGCAATCAAGCAAAAGCACATTTCATAAAGATTACATCATTCCTTTCAATGCAGAGCATCTATTCTGCAGCAGGAATGGAGATCTGATTGTTAAAATACAACACACTGTGCAATTATAAATATTTTTTAAATCATGTTTAAATCACCCCACTATAGTTCTACAGAGTAGAAGTAGCACACACTGTAGTTTACCTTTCACACACTAGAAGTTGCATGATTACCTTTTGTAAAACATCTAAAGCTGTAAGCACTGCTTCCTGTAAACTTGTCAGAACTGCTTCAGTGTAAGATGGAAGGATGAAAGGGGAAGCATCTGAACTGATTGGAACTGAAACAGCGCCGTGCAAAATGACACCGAGCTTTTGGAGATCATCCATGCTGAAACCAGTTTTGATGTGTTGGTAAAGAGCTGGGAATATTTGAATTAAAGCTGTAAGAAAAGGCTGGCTGGGAATGAAAGTCAATTTATCACAAGTAATTGGAGGCCTTGTACTTTCTGATCCAATCCTATACCAGCTGTTCCAGGCTGCCCACCAAAGATTCAAATCTTCAATCTCATCTGTTATTACAGGAGGTTCAGATCCATTATATCTTCCTATTCTTTCTCCTATGGAGTCAGTTCTCATGAATGATCTGCCAAGACTAGTGGCAGTAGTTGTCCCAACCACCAAAGGTACAGAAACATTGATGGCAGGTGGTGTCTCAGGCTTCTCAGAGTCTCGAACAGGAGAAACAATTTGCAGGATTTCCTGGAAGCTTTTCAGAGCAGCCAAGGAAACTTCATTATTTTTGCTAAGTGCTGCTGACTGGATGTGATCAAGAAGAACATCCCAGGCTTGGGAAAAGTCTCCTATTTAAAAAAAGAGAGAGGATGGAAAAAATCAATTTGGAACTTGCTTCCTATTCCCATTCCCACCCACCCTGCCCCTCTAAAAGGCTGCTCATGTACATGTTAGTCCAATACACAGAAATTTCAAGAGATTAGGTGGCCACTTGAATGACTTTTATACCAGTTCAACCATAAGCTGAAAGAATGAATGTGACAGAGAAACATATAAATATGAAGAATGAAACAATATGTTCATGCTAAATTTGCTAGCAAAAAGTCACATACCACATCCCATACCAGTAAAATACATTTTATTCATTCAGTATAGTAAGCCAGATTTATTCTTAAATATACCAGATGCCTGTTGATTTCAAGAAGGGTTATATCCACACAAGGAATTCAGGGTCAAATTAATGCAATTACTCATGCAATGCATTTATAAAGAATTGATTTTAAAATGCTCAAATAATTGTACTGTGGAAAGATTTCATTTGAGGCATTGAGTTTTTCATTAAATTTAGCCTTAACCTTCAATTTTCTATATTACTAATTACAGGGTTTGAATAATTAAAGTAGTTCTGAATTTTTTTTATTCAGTTTTAACTCAAGTTTAATATAGCCTAAATTCTACCACATTTCTGCAAATGACTGATACATTCACCAGCTATTAATATGTGGATACCTGTATCACAAATGACCAAAATGAAATACAACTTACATCCAGTTAATATACATTAACTGCATGCTATAGGATGCTGAAGGTAGAATAATCTAATGAGAACTTTTCTTTATAAGCTATACAGTCTCTATTCCTTTTGCACTTTTTCCTTGGAGAAATTACCAAGCTATTGTAAAATATTACTACATACAGCTGAACAATGAAAATGTTCAATACTCCACTGACTTTACAGGTAACTTCTCTTTATGTTCTCAGAGTACTGTTAAATTTGATACACTGATACCACAGAAGAGATCCAGGCAAGTGTTGCATTCCCTTAGACAGATAAAAGGAAAAGCATGTTCTGACAAGAACAAAGAAAAGACAAAGTATTACTGTTACCAGTCTACTATAATTTAAAGCTATTTAGCACCCAGAACTGGGACTGAATTGTGACTACTGAGATTTAATCTCAAGTACCATGATACAGAAGAGGAAATCTGTAGTGACAATTTTTGGCTCTATGAAGCATGAATTAATAACTCCATAATTTTCATAACTTTTGAGGTGACACAGCAAAAAATATTTTTGAGCTAAGATTGAGCTAAGCACCTTGCCCAGTACATTAACTGAAAAGAACATACAAAAGAAGAAAGTTTATCATTGTGTCTTTTAATATCTATAAATTTTACCTAGAGGCTGCAGTAAGTATCTCCTAGTGTTAAATATCCTTGCAACTCCAGCCAGTGTTAACACCCATGTCTCAGCCCACTGTTTCTCAGCTGTATCCCTTGAATGATGAATGAGAATGTTGCCTCCTCCTGATTCAATCTTCTCTTTGTCAGCTGTCGTAGAAGATTCTCGAACCCTATCCAACAGGTGAAATAAAACCTGTAACAGCCAGAAAAAAAAAGAGGAAAAATACAGCTTTTCAAATAACATGGCTGCATTGATAGTAAACCAAAAATTTCTTTCATTATCCTTTCTGTCACTATGTCACCCTAAAAATTCCCTTGTTCTAAATAGTGTCCACAGCAGTCAAGATTAACAATCAGTCGACTGACTTGAGAAAGGCTGGAAATAGGACACTCAAACCCACCAAGAACAGTGTCAGCACCAGGAGAATGCTAAAACCAGTGGATCTCAGATGCTTCACAGGTACAACAGGCAGGTTCAAATATAGCCCAAAGTTTCCATAAAGCACAACAAACATGACCATGACTTAGAACACAGCATTCTGATAGATCCAAACCAGAATGCAAAGCAAGGCTCTATCCAATACCGGATCAGCCCTGTCACATGACCTTCAAACATCTCCATTTTCACACAAAAGATAAGTCATTCTTGTAGGAAGAACACCATCTTTTTATCAAACTCCTGAGCAAAAAATAAACTATTAGGATATTAAAATTGTATTTTAGAAGAGGCTTTAAAGGCCAGAGAAGATAAAGTATAAAAAACATTCCCAAAATCCAAGAGATTAGATTTCTGCCATCTTATGTTATCTTTTAAAAGTCTTAAATTATCTAAATGATGTGGTTATTAAATGGTAAATAGTTATTGGTTAATAAAATGTAAATGCTCTTTACAAAACCTTCAGAGGAAGCTTACACATCATACCTTCCATATTACTGTGTGCCACGTGGAATGTTGCAGCAAAGTTCCATGAGCCCCAATGGTAGAAAACAATGTCTGCCCAGCGCTCTTTCTAACTGCAGGTCGGGGATCCACACACAGCTCTCCAAGTTTGGCATACAGGCATAACCAAAGACAGTCAAATGGTGATGCAGGATGGAAAGGTCTGTTCAGCAACACCCCCTTTTCTTCTGCCTGTTTCTGCAACACTGCTTCTTCTTTGTTTAGCTCCTTTTCAATGATTTCACCTCTTTGGAAGAAATAATCTGAAATATTCCACTACAAAATAATAAGACATAGGGTGTTGTACAATAAAAATAGGGTAATGCTTTAATGTTCATGAAATAAATTGTCTCTTATTTTTACAAAGTATTTTGCAAAGTACATCAAGATATTAACTTCCCTACACTGGTGAAATAAGATCAACAAATAAAATTTGCAAGGTCCAAAAATTACTCTTCTTTCTCAGCTTTTACGTTCCTGTAATGGAAAATGAACTCATCATTTTAATACATATTTTGTAAAAAAATGTATTAAAAATAAGATACTGATGAACATGCTTACAATGCAATGTTATTTCTTTTAGTAAGGCAGGAATCATGGAGATTAAAGGTAAGATGTGCTCACTCAATTTACCTACAATGACAGAATGGGAGTTCAGTAAGAGCCCAAAAAGCTACTTTATGGTTTTCATTTGTATAACTGGCTACAGAAAAGTTTTCATTACAAAGGAAAGCAAAAATGAAAGCCTGAAGCAGCATCAATGTAGGTTAATAAAAAACTCACCAGTAAACCAATTGAAGTTAAGCTAATATTTAGCTCTTGATTGTGAAGTCCAAAGCTTCCTGCAACTTCAACAACTATCTGCAGACAAGTACATGGCATGGTAGGAAGGAAGTCGGTCACAACCAGCTGAAGACACTGGAATGCAGTCCGTATTAAGGACTCTCTTAAAAAAACAAAATGAAAACAAAGCACACACACATACTCATTTCACACTTCTTCAACAGCATGGAAATATTTTGAATACAATACCTCAGGAGACAGCATTATTAAATACAAAAAGAAAAAAATGAAACTAATGTTTTTGAGAAGAATTTGCACCACTTTAAATGGGGTTTTTGAGATATAATTTTAAGTTGAAGCTTAAAATTCTGATGAAGTAGTTTAGTCCACGTTAACTACCTAGTGCAGTTGGAAGTTTAGACTTTCCAGTGGTCCTTAGCTAACTTTACATAGTGAAGTCCCCTTCTCTGTTTTAGAGTTTTAAGGCTTGTTAGTTCAAATGTGTTAGCCAGAACATTAGAAAAAAGCCACAATGGACCAAAAAAAAAAAAAAAGACAAGCTTAATTTAAGCTTGATAATCTTCCAAAGAGCAAGCACAAATTATTTCAAGTATACCAAACAGGTGGGCAAAATTTGTTTTTATTTATTAGGAAAGATGCATACTAATATAATCATAGTCTTACTTGCTTCAATACTACATTATATCAGAAAAAACTTTTCAAAATATCTACCCTTAAATAGATCCTTAATAATTACTTTACCTTCAGAATTTGATTCTGAATACAAACATAAAAATATAGTACAGAAAAGGTTTGCAAGAAGGAGTTCTCAGAAGAGCAAGGCCATCTGCAACTAAAATATTGTTCAGTGAGAGACAAAATGAAGGCATCAAAAGGAGTGGTGGAGTGTAGGTAACACAAATAGGGAAGCTGCATTTAAATTTCACTGCAGGGTTTTTTCAATGTTTAATGTAAAACAGAAATAACTTCAAAGCTTTGTAATACAGAAACTTGGTGTCCTTCAGGATATACATCCTGGGAAAAAATTTCAGACTATTGACATGTCAGTTACCTATTCCAAAATTACAAATGAATTTTTTTTATTAATCCTAAATCAAAATCAGATGTGGGTCATTTCCACTGTATTGTAACAGCCAACATAATATAGAAACCAGAGGAATATACAAGAAACTTCACATGGACAGTAATGGTTTAACTAATAGTTCTCTAATATGATGAATACTGCAGAGAAACATCCATCCTACCATGTAAGATTAAAGTATTTATCATTGCTATACTGATGGAGAATAGACTCACACAATACTTTCCCCCATACTCATTATAGGAGTCTATAAAGTGAAACAGACCCAAAACTGCTGCAGTTCCCCCTGCAGTACACAGTTTCAGAGGTATGTGACCCTCAAGGACTATAAGAGAAAAGAGAAGGAGGCAGGAAATCGAAGTATAGTTCCACTACTCATTCTGAAGTACTGAGCTAATGCAAAAGTAACCTGTCTTTCTAAACTTCAAATGCAAGCCTACAAGAACAAATTCAGAACAGTTTTTCCAAATTAAGGTCCCACACTGCTATGTGCTTGAAGAAAGGTTTTAAAGTCTCTCATGCAAGTAGTAACAGTGATACAAGTCTTCAAATTGTGGAACTGTCCTTGGTGTTACAGGTGACCACGAAAAGGTAACTATAAATAGAAGAAACTTAAGCTCAGAGAAATCTTAAGATTGTGTAGGGCTTTATCTATGCTTAAAATAAACAGAGGCTTTCCACTGAAAGAGACTTCACAGACAGGCTTCCTTTTGTTTGGCAGGATATTACTGTACAATCCAGAAATGACCAAAGTATGGTTTTTGGTTATCAAAACAGAATTTTCTGTTTTTATAAAAGCCTGGAAAGCAGTTCTCCAGGAAGGTAAATGGACTCTGTCCTGGAATCCAGGATGTTCACTGATCAGAGAGAAGACAGTTGTGAATAAAGTCTTGTGCTCAGTAAGTTAATATTAAAAGTACAATCATAGCATCTGCATCTAGTACTCACAGCTGTAACTTCGGTAAGAAATTAAGTTTTTTTTCCTCTCAAGGAAAAGGGGGCATGCATTTTTTTCCCCCTACTCTACTTAATATGATGGGGACAAACAGTGCTATGTAGGTGAAGTAGATTATTCCATATACTTTGTGGAGGAGACTAAGATATAACACAAGATGTTAGTAATAGTAACATCTTGAGATATCAGCCAGTGAGATATGGGTTTGAGATTTAATGGGATCTGAAGACTGTCTTGAGAAGGAATTTGTGGTGGTTCTCATCCATCACTAAAACAGTGAAAATCAAAAGGCATGCAGGAACAGATTGCACCAAGTGTGGAAACAACAACTACCAAATGCAAATGAAGCTTAATTACAAAAAAGAGGATGTTCACAATGAAGAATGCCAAAATCCTTGGGAATTTTGGTAGGTACTACTGACAACGCAAACAATACTGGTCCAAGAGCAAAATCCTTCAAGCATTTGAAGGGGCTTTAGGCTTTTGTATGACTAGAAGACTAAAGCTAAGGTGAGACAAAAGGAGAGCTATGCCAAGGAGAATTCTACTGACACTAGAATTATGTGATGACCTATCCTGCTGCTAGTCTTGACTAGCACCTAAAAAACCAAGGTGGATTGAGTGCGTGGGTATAATTCTTGGTGCTTACAGTCACAAAGGCAGATGTTCAATTCATTGCTCATTTCAAAAATACTCATTGCAACTTCATCTCTCACTTTGCCTTGTGAGCAGAGAACCAAGTCCACCTCTGCTGGCAACAGAGTCAATTGTCTAAGTCAAGGGATTCGCCCACAGCCAGTAAATAATCTTCCATCCTTCTGCTACCAGCAACCATTTAGGTAGGAAGGCTTCAAGAAAAAGAGAGAGCTATCAGAAGAAAACACACACTAGAGACTACTAGAAGATTTAAGAAGAAAAAGAAACAATAGATTAACTGAGCAAGAGCTGATTCACACAGAAGTATCAGCAAGCATCAGAGAGATGCGTCCCCCAGATGGTCAAGATCAAATGAAATGGCACACTGAGTATATACTGCATGCTGACTACAGGAGAAGGTAGAGTGGAATAATATTCTGGTCATTTGGAAGATTAATTCAGTAAAATAAACAGTGCTTCAAGAAGAATTAAAAAGTGTACTTTTGTTGAGTAAATTTTTTCACAAGCCGAAAATCACATTGAAACTATGATTATTGAAGTGGCTATTAAAGTACAAAAATACAAGCAGAATTTTTTCTACTGTTCTTACCTTACATGAGTTTAAAATTTTATTTCCACCACTTACCCCTGATCACTTTGGATTGCCCCCATGACTCCAAGCACCAATGGCCAACCAGGTCCTAGGCTGTCACCCTGACTCTGTAAAATCTGTAGCACACACTCCAACTGCTTGATCCTGATATCAGGATGACTAATGTTTGACAGCTCCTTTAGTGGATTCAATAACAGCAACTGCAGTCTCTAAAAGTAAACAGTAAAGCATATTAAGGATGCTAACATTTAACTGATTCTTAAGTATTTTTATGTATGAGTGAAAATCTCCAGTACAAATTAAAGATTCATTGAAATAACTCAGTAGCTCACTCACTAAATGCTCAAATTCAGACCATAAAGGGTCTTTGCAGAAAATCTACCTTCCTGACTCCTGTTCTCCAGGTTCCTCAGGAAGCAGCTACAGATGCTACTACAGTTGCATAAAAAGTGTCATGCAACTTTATGTTTACTCAGCAGGGCTACACTCAGCTTCCTCAAGAGACCATGGAAAAACATCCAGTGACTATCAGTAAAAATATTAGAATATTTCATTAATCATGGATTGAACTGCTGTAATTGAGAAGGTTAGGCAAAAACACATTTTCTACCTGCCACAGAATCACATATACTACTAAACATTTTGTAATTGCTTTGCACTCATGGGGGTGACCCACAATTTGTTCTAAGAAATGGACATAATATGCAAGCATCACTCTTAGTTAGGTATTTGAAAAATGAAAGAGAACAGTTCATTAGAATGCATGTGGTGGTCCACAATAGTTACATCTGAGTGTTACAGTCAATGACTGTATATACTCAATAGCAAAGCTGCTTTAAGAATGAAGGGGGAAAGCATCTGCTTTTAAAATTACTTTACCTGGTTTTGAGATAATGGAGGATCATGTCTGAATGTCAGTCCTGCTTTAATGAGAGAAGTTAAAGCCTCTGCTCCCCATTCTCTCATTCTGGAGTTGGGATGCTGACAGACCTGAAAACACACCAATGTTTTGTTTAAAGACACTTTTATTTAACCAACATATATAATACATTAAAAACTGGTATTTTAATTATATTAGAACGTACATACAATAGTATAAGAATAATACAATAGATCTCTAAATGGTAAAATTTGGCTTCAGAGTAAAAAAAGAAATTTATCTTTTGGATAGACATACCTTCTGAATAAGGAAGCAATAGGAAGCAGTGAAAGACACAGAAGGAAACATAATGAAAATTACATATATAATTCAAGTAAATAAATTTTCCAAAATGAATAAACTAACTGCTAATTCTGATAATGATTCATTAAAAAGCACCAAACAACCCTTCAACCAATGCCTAAGAATCTCAGGTTTAACTTAACATAAAGCTACAAAATAGGAATTTTCACACACTGCTTAACATAATCAAGTGAGGAAAATGACAGTAGCCAACAAAGAAAGAGTCTTCCATATTCTCAAATACAAAAAGTAACTACATATTGAAGATAAAATAAACCTCACACTCCCTTTATTTTAAAAACTTGACAAAGCAATAGTGAGCATCTTTAAACTTGAGTTTCAAATGCGTATTTTCATTTCTCTTTTTCTCTAAGTTCTCTAAACCTAAAAACTTTTCTAATTGCTTTTTAAGAATATAAAAATTACAAACATTGTGCATCTTCATTTCTTAGATAGCTTGTATGAACTGTGCTGTATCTAATACATTACCCTCACACTAATATGGGAAGTGTACAGTTTCATTGACCACTCCATAATCATTCCCATCCCCCCTTCCAGCCCTAGCTCTGATGGTGTGAGAACCCAGAGTCAAGTCCAAGGCAGTCTCATAAAGAAGGCTGGTGCCTTTTATTGGTGGACCATTCTCCTCTCAACCACTAGCCAAACTGAAAAGGTGAACAATGTAAAAGAGACAGCTTAACATTTAAAAATGTGGACAAGAAATAACCACTCTACTGATTAAATTATATTTTAAAAATTTTATATAAAATAAAAAGAGTAAATTAGAAGAACTTCATGCTCTGATTCTGTCCAGATGACCAGTTCCAGAACCAGGGAACAAGCTATTCCCTCAGGTTGTGTTTAATTGAATCATAGCTGATGTTTCCTCCTTCCTTACTGTACCTCAACAACTTAGGTTTAAAAGGAAATAAGGCAGTACACTTTGAAAGAAAATGGAAGACTCTGTATTTCCTACAGAACAGTGGCAGATTATCTGCACTGCAAAGGTAACAGACTGAAACAGACTGCTCCCTAGATGAAGAGAGTCTCAAGATGTGGATGGTGAACCTTATTGTTCTGCAGGGCAAAAAATAACCAAGAGAAAGAGATGCCTGTGCTTTAAGTCTTTAAACCCAGAAGTATCTATTTTTTTTCTTCTAGATAAAGCAAAATGTGGCTTCCATAAAAAGATATGGCCAATCCTTGATACTGGTTGAAACAATGCACTGGTGCTAAGGAAGTATCTGATACATTCTGAATTACGAGGAAGAAAAGCCTTCTCCTTTACCCACTCTAAAACAAACCCTTTTCTTACATTTCATTCTCCTATGTACTTGTGTGGAGAATTAAAACTACAGTTACATTCAATCACCTGTTTTGAGTTTTCAATTCAAAACGTAAGGTTTTTTTCCTTCATAAAGTATATTTTTCATGTTGAAATTAAAATACTAAAAAAATTGCAACAGGATTGTAATATTTTTATACTTGAACAGTATTCTCTTAAAGAACGCAATCAGAAGTTAGCTTAAATATTAAAAAACCAAACAAATAAACAACCCTTTCTAAATAAATCTCCTGGCTTCAATTCTAGGAAAATTCTGTCTCAGAATCATCCTAAATATTTGTAATGTGTGAAATAGTAAATTTGCGCTAAATAGTAAATTTGTGCTACCTTAATTAGAACAAATATGTGAAGTATAATTACTTGATCTTTTTAGACACTGCTGTGTCAAAAACATATAAAGAGCGACAGCACCATAAATAGAAAGTTACCAAGAGATATAAAATATTGTAATTTAAATATAATAAATTCACTTTTAAATCCAAACCATAATGCATTCAAGTTGCAATAATAAAGTGCCTGAAGTAAAATATATAATTATATAATTTAGATTTTTTAAAATTACACATTAACAACATATTTCCACGAGATTTTCATTAATACAAACTAAATTCCAGTACAAGTGATAAAAGCCATTCGTTACCTCCAGAAGATGACCGGTCAGAGGTCTCCAAAGAATCTCAATCCTGCGCATGTTAACCAGTCCCGTTTCCAGTAATTTAGCAACAGCAAAAAGTGATGGTTCCTTAACGAAAGGGAATGGGAGCAGGTGACTGAGGCAGCTGCCATAAGGCGTTTTGCTGGGCTCATTTCTAAGGCGCGGTGCCGCAGGGCGGCCACACGGGGGCAGCAGGCTGACAAAAACCAGCACGGACGGTCCCTACGGGCTCGCCTCGCACAGCCCGCCCTCCCACCGGCCTTGTAACGTGACTGCCCAGCACAACAGCCTCTCCCCAGGCAACTCTTAAATTATATATATGTGAAAAAATCTGGAATATTTCATTTCATAATACCCTAATTATTTATCTTTCATTTGCTCTATAAATTCTTTGCAGGAGTATGATAAATTTCCCATTCATTAAACCTATCTGCAAATACTTGTCATAAGCTTCATTCAATTTTACTTTTTTTAAAGATCAACATATAGTCAAAATGACTGTTGCACTGAAATCATTACCTCTTCCCATTTCTGCTGATTTTTTACTCTAATTTTCAACTGCTTTTAAACACAAAGTTTGCTTATTAAATTAATTCTTTGTTGCTGTAATAGCAAAATATTATAAAACATGTTCTCTGCCTTAATTATCTCTAGTGTAACAGATTAAGGACAAGCTTTCAGAAACTCTCCTCTGGGATAAGATATGATTAGGAGAATATATATTCAATCTTACCCAACCACAGGGTCTTCAACCTTTCTGGGATAAAGGTTGTTTACTGAAGCCGACATGATTACTAACTATGATTTCCCAAATAAATACGACTTATCAGGTTTTAAAATACCTAACTGTCAGGCTTTCTCTGAAGTACATTGTAAGAGAAAATTGAAATGAAAATGAGCATCTCACAGAACATACTGTGCTACTTAGCATCCCTAACCTCTGAAATTACATGGGCTTTTAAAAGTTTCATCCACCCACAACCTTATTAATGGAAACACATGACATTCCTTAAAAAGCACAGGAACGCAGTGAGGATGTTCAGAGAATGTAGTAATTGTATGAACCATTAAAAACAAGGCTTCTCTGGTTCATATTTTATGTTTTAATCCAGAGCATCAAAGGTATTACTGGTTTTAGTATTAGGAATACTTAATTAAAGAATAAATATACAAGTCTTCTGCCTGTTTCATAAAAACATCTAAAAAAATAAACAACTTTTTTATACCTTATTGTTTCCATAGGCCATATCCATGGCTTCCAGGGACAAGGAGCAAAGGGCATTTATTAAGTGATGTAAAGACACATCGTCAAGGTACCTGAAAAATAACTGCTATCAAAACACTGTCAAGTTTGATATACACATATTATTTTAATTACAAGATAAGGTTTCTTACTGTGAGTTTTCAAAAAGCTTTGAAATCATACTGGATATAGATGGCAGATCAGTCATAACCGCTGTAGTCAGAACCTTGAATAAAAGCCAGAAATATGTCTTACAGATTGCAACAGAAATATATATATATATATATATATATATATATATATATATATATATATATAATATATATATATATATATATAAAAAATATATAATCATTAACTGCAAAACAAACAATCATGCTTACTGTGCTTGGCCCTTCCACAGCTCTCCCAGGTTTTAATGCACCCCCAACACTAGGCTTCAGTCCCAGAATCCACACAAGATGCTGAAAAATACAAAAGGATCATTTTTCAGGCAGAGAAGAAATTAGCATTGTACTCAAGCTAGCCACCAAAAAGAACTCAAGAGAAATGCTACAGTACTTATTCAAGGCAATTCACAGAACACCATGAGAAGACTGAAAGCTTCTTCTATTGCTCACTGAGCAATCGAAAACCAAATTACAGCAAAACACCAAGGCATAACAGCAAGGCATAAATATTTCCTCACAGGAAATATTACCTGAAGGGTAGCCAGGACAAGTTGCCATGATGTACCAAGAACAGCTCCATGGAAGTGAGCTAGGTTGAGTAATGTCCTCATACACTGGATATTTTTTGATGTCAGCTAAAAAAAAAAAAAAAAACAACCAAACAGCCATCCAATTTTTATTATTCATAATGATAGTGTTTCTAGCAAACTTCCAATTTTTACTGAAGTGCTTTAAAATTACATTTTGTTTGCACTACTGAAATATATTTTTTTAGAGAAGTAGTTCAGTATTTCTCCTTCTTCTCCCAGCCTTATCTTGGTGAAGCTGAATATGAGCACTTGAGTGCAGCATCCAGCTCTGCAGTCCCCAACACTGGAAGGACATTGATCTGTTGGAGGCCCACCAAGATGTTCAGAGGGGTAAAACACCCCTCCTATGAGGAAAGGCTGGGAGAATCAGGATTGTTCAGCGTGGAGAAGAGAAGGCTTAGGGATGACCTAATTGCAGCCTTCCGGTACCTGAAAGGAACTTCCAGGAAAAACAGGACAAGACTATTTACAAGAGCATGTAGTGACAGGACAAGAGGGAATGGCTTCAAATTGAAAGAGAACAGGTTTCAGTATCAGGAAAGAAATCTCTGCTTTGAGGCTGGTGAGTCACTGGAACAGGTTGCCCAGGGAAATATTCAATTCCCCATCCCTGGCAGTGTTCAAGACCAGGCTGGATGGGGCTTTGTGCAAGCTGGTCTAGTGGAAGGTGTCCCTGCACACGGCAAGTGGGTTGGAACGAGATGATCTTTAAGATCCTTTCCATCCCAAACCATCCTGTGACTCTCTGATTTGATCACTGCCCTCTCCTCCCAGTTTCACATTGTTATCAGACACAAGTTCAAGTACTCCAGCTTAATTGCATCAACTCCACAAAAATCAGTCTATCTTAAATGAACTTTCACACACAGGCACATAAAATAGCTAAGATTAGAGTTTTCCAAGTGGAATGGATAAGAACTTCAGAGCTAGAAGTCAGAAAAAAACAAGAATAAGAATTCTTTGCAATTAGATAACTTTACTGCCCAGGATTGTTCCAAATGAAAGCATAAGGACAATAGACCAGCTCACCATTATTTGTAAGAATGCTGTGCATCTGTAGCCTGGTTTTGAGACACACTGAGATGCAGAAAGAAGTAGTTAAGCAAAGTAAGATCACTTACAAGTTGTACTTACCATAACTGTTCCCTGTGGCTGAAGAGCTAAGGGTTGCCCTACTGCGACAACTTGCTGGTGAGACTCACTTGAGGGACTAATCATTTGAACATTCTGTCCCTGAATGGAATATGCTGGAGGGAAATTGAAAAGAGAAGGAAAAAAACCCCTAAATTTAAAATCCAGTATTTACTTGTAGTAAGAACTACCTTCTGGCAAACAGACTCCACAAAATTTCTTTACAGTGTTAGCTTTAGCATACCTCACTTTGAGACCTTTGGTTGTATTTAGATTACAGTGTCATTGCCCTAGAGTTTTAAAGATCTTGCAATTACTCCCTGTTTCTAACTATTAGACATTGTTTGTGATACACTCATACATTTTATGTCAAGACTGAAATGTTTATGCTTAAGATATGAGCATCAGACTGTCTCAACTCAGTTTTTTATGGTAATTGTGTGTAAATGGTATCACTGTGTGCTACCACTGTATCAGTACACTCAGAAAATGACAGTGCCATTGATGCTGTATCATGATATTTTTTCAATATGGGACTCCAGGCCACCCATTTTATAACTCAATTGTAAAAAGAAGAGCAACCTACACAAAATAACTGAGGTTTCCTTCTTTGTTTTTATAGGTATCTGCGTAGTTCAGTCATGTGTTCTTAAGTTCTTAACAGACTTACAATCTAATAATACACTTAGCTGGTACACTGGACTGAAGTAAAGGTGCTGGTCCTTGTTTCCAGTGTAAGACATTTTTGTTTTATTTTAGGAGCTCTAATGTTAGATGCATCTGTATATTTTTCAGGTAGTTGCTTTTCTCAGTAAGTAGTAATTCACTTTCAAAGTTAGAAACAGAGTACATCCTAAACCAGCATATATTATGAATTACAACATTCTCTCAAGATGTGGGATGCATCAATTCAGCTTTTTGTAGGCTATAGAGAGCCCAGAACTTAGATCTTTCATTTATGCATAAGCATTACCATCACCAGACAATTGTAGATAAGACTGAAGTACATCACAAATGCAGGATGTTCTAGCCAAAGCTTTAGAATCCAAGTTGCCCAGAGACCTCTTCAGATTTTGAATGCCTTAATTACACATCCTAGCAGATCTTTACAATGGTAGACAGATCTCAGAATTTGAACTTTTGACATCTGTGAATCTTTCAAGAAATTTTAGGTTGATCAGAATGATAGTAAGCTGTCGGATCTCAAGATCTCAGTCCTGAGATGCTGAGCCACCGAGACCCTGGGGGGGCTCGGGACTCCTGGAATGTTGCCAGAAGTGTCTGGTAGCTGGACTTTAACCCTACACAGGAGACGACAAGGATGAGGGCTTCACCGGGTGAATGGTGAAGGGATTAGTTAATTAGAGAGTGAGACACA